TCTGCGAATTTGTAACATAGAAAACAAATTGTAATTCGTAACATATCATACATATCATACATATCATACATATCAAATGGGTGATGAACATCCACAAATTAATACATACCATAACGAAAAGTAAGTGTCTCGGATTTACATACAGACTAATACGAAACGCTCTGGGACCAGGTTGTGTGGTGAGATGTGATATTTACCTAATCCTACTCTCTCCACCCACTCGTTCTCTCTAGTTTTCTCTCACCATCTCTCTATCACACTTGGCCTCTGCCTGTCATTCTCATTATCTTTCTTTCTCAATCTGAATATTTATCTTCCTCTCTCTCTCTCTCGCTCTCAATTAGTGTTTTCTTGTCTTTGGATGCTTGATTTATTTTGCCCTCATGATCTGTGTCACAAGTGTGTTTTTACCTTTTTTACCTCTATGTTATCATGGGGCACAGAGGGACGGTTATTCCCCAGGCATCTAGTATATGTTCATTGTATAACAATGTAATTGCACTTTTCCTCTGATGTCTGTTCTTGTGCAATTACTCTTACTGCTCTTACTCTTATGTGTCTGTTACTGTAGTGGCATAATTCCTTGTATACGTAAAGAATGGCTCCTTCAAGGATGTTTTTTATTCTATTCTGTTCTATTCTGTTCTGTTATATTCTTTTCTATTCTGTTCTATTCTATTCTGTTATATTCTGTTCTGTTATATTATTTTCTATTCTGTTCTATTCTGTTCTATTCTATTCTATTCTATTCTATTCTATTCTATTCTATTCTATTCTATTCTGTTCTATTCTATTGCTTGTAGTTATTCCCATGCTATTATTATTCAACTCTGGCGTTAGTGGATATACTCGAGTTATGGTAGGAGTTGCAAAAGTCCTCTGTGGTCCTTTCAGAGCTGTGTGGGCTGTATCTCTCTGAGTGGAGGAGTTTGACACCACTGCAGGGGTACCCCCTAATTAATGTCAAGGCCCTGTTGATGATGCTGTTGCATGATGATGTGTGAACAATAATAAAAGGCCACTAAGTCACCTACTATTGTACAGCTACATCACCCCTCCCTCCCTTTCCCTCTCCCTCCCTCCCTCCCTCCCTCCCTCGCTGACCGAGAATCAGCCCAATCAAATGCTGGGTACTTTCCAGCACTAAGTACAGTACACATCCAATAGCATAAATCAGACAGTAACAGAGGCCAATAGCCATGAAAGAGAAAGTGATTAGAGAACTTGACAGGATGTCGGGGTTAGGTGTTGTAATCCCTGAGAATGAAGCCACAGAGTGGGTTTCTGCCATGGTAGCTGCTGTAAAAAAAAAGATGACTCTGTCAGGCTATGCATAGACCCAGTGCACCTGAACAAAGCACTGCTTAGGCCACACCACCCCATGAAACTACAGAACAGCCTGGTGCAAAAGTGTTCAGCATTGTTGATGAAAAATGTGGATTCTGATAGATTCCTCTTGATGAGAAATAATCTAAACTAACCACATTCATGTCTCCTGTTGGAAGGTTCAGGTTCCTCCGCATGCTGTACGATATCTCCACTGGCAGTGAGGTCTTACAGAGATCAATGGAGCAGCTGTTTGTTGGGCAGCCATGTGAGATGATGGTGGATGACATCCTAGTGCGGGGAGGCCCACTGGGTGAACACGATGAGCCCCTCAAGCAGGTCCTCAACAGGATTAGGCGAGTCAACTTGAAGCTGAATCCAGAGAAGTGCAGATTCAGGCTCCATGAGGTTCCCTACGTCGGTCACCTCCTCATATCCCATGGGGTGAAACCTGACCCGGAAAAAAGACAGAGGCCATCAGGCAGATGCCCAAGCCAGAAGAAAAGCAGGCACTGCAGCCACAGGTGAACAGGGCTCCTCCACCAGCTCCTCCATCAGGACATTGAATGGTGCTGGCAGGAGCAACATGACATTGCCTTCACCAAACTGCTGTCCAGCACACCAGTGCTCCAGTCCTATGATGTGGGCTGCAGTGGGCAAACCAGTGGTGCTATCTGCAGATGTGTCCCAACATGGTCTCAGAGCCGTATGTCTATAACATGGTAGGCCAGTGGCGTTCGCATCAAGAGCACAGACAGAGACACGTTACTCTCAGATAGAGAAAAAGATGTTGACCCTTGTTTTTGCCTGTCAGAAGTTTCATGATTTCATATACGAGCGAGCAGTGGTGGTGGAGACAGACCACCAACATCTGAACACTATCCTGCGGAAGCCTCTGCACACTGCATCCTCATGTCTGCAGGGGATCATGATGAAGCTTCAACGCTACAATGGATGTTGTTTACAAAAGAGGCAAGGAGCTGTTTGTAGCTGACGCGGTACAGCGTACAGCTACATCACCCCTCCCTCCTTCCCTCTCTCCCTCCCTGACTGAGAATCAGCCCAATCAAATGCTAAGCACTAAGGAGCTGATTGTGGACTACAGCAAAAGAAGGACCGAGCATGCCCATGCCCCCATTCTAATCAACGGGGCTGTAGTGGAGCAGGTTGAGAGCTTCAAGTTCCTTGGTGTCCACATTACCAATAAACTGAAGAGGGCACGACAAAGCCTATTCCCCCTCAGGAGACTGAGAAGATTTGGCATGGGTCCTCAGATCCTCAAAAGGTTCTACAGCTGCACCATCGAGAGCATCCTGACTGGTTGCATCACTGCCTGGTGTATGGCAACTGCTCGGCCTCTGACCACAAGGCACTACAGAGGGTAGTGTGTAAGGCCCAGTACATCACTGGAGCCAAGCTTCCTGCCATCCAGGACCTCTATACCAGGCGGTGTCAGAGGAAGGCCATAAAAATTGTCAGACACCCTAGTCATAGACTGTTCTCTCTGCTATCGCAAGGCAAGCGGTACCGGAGTGCCAAGTCTAGGTCCAAAAGGCTTCTTAACAGCTTCTACCCCAAGCCATAAGACTCCTGAACAGCTAATAAAATGGCTACCCGGACTATTTGCATTGTTCCCTTATCTATTGTTTACTTAACACGTATTTTTCTTAAAACTGCATTGTTGGTTAAGGGCTTCTAAGTAAGCATTTTCACCTGTTGTATTAGGCGCATGTGACAAATAACATTTTGTTTGATTTGAAGTACAGTACACATCCAATAGCATAAATCTGACAGTGACAGACAGAGATGATTGATATTTCGATGCCCGACAACATCAATCAAAGGTACAGTCACAGAGGTAAAAGAGACAACATATCTAACTGTAAGTCGCTCTGGATAAGAGCGTCTGCTAAATGACTAAAATGTAATGTAAATGTATATGTAGATTGTCCAATAGCATAAATCAAGAGTTGTGTGGACGTTAAGAGTAGAGGAATGACATCTGTTGGGAGGCCCAGTAGCATCACTCTGTAGTTACTGACACACTGAAAGGAGAAATGACAGATATGTTGACATCAACAGAACTAATGTCCCCCAGGTTGGCTTTGGAGTTGGGGTGTAAACTTCCTGGAATGTTCAATAAATTGGAGGTGTCACAGTTACAGTTGCCTCTGGCTCTCTTTTTGACAGAGGGAACGATGAACGTTCCCAATTTGAGCTGTGAGACAACAGCCACGACTGTAAACTCTGTCAAAAACAGTTACGGAATGAAAGCACCGGGCTGTTGACCTGTTTAGAAGGCAGCCTCGTGTACTGCACATATGCCTTTCTCTCATCTGGCTGACTGGATTGAAAAAGTGTGAGTGCGTGTGTTTGAGCGCAGCACACCAAATGCAGAGTACCTTTCTGCTCAGTCCCCCCTCTCACCCTCCCCAATCTCTCTGCTCTGCTCTCTCGCCTCCTTTCTCTCCTTCCCTCTAGGCTACTTCTCTCTTATTCTCTCTCCTTCCCTCCCCCTCTACCAGCTCTCTCTAGGCTACTTCTCTCTTATTCTCTCTCCTTCCCTCCCCCTCTACCAGCTCCCTCTAGGCTACTTCTCTCTTATTCTCTCTCCTTCCCTCCCCCTCTACCAGCTCTCTCTAGGCTACTTCTCTCTTATTCTCTCTCCTTCCCTCCCCCTCTACCAGCTCCCTCTAGGCTACTTATCTCTTATTCTCTCTCCTTCCCTCCCCCTCTACCAGCTCTCTCTAGGCTACTTCTCTCTTATTCTCTCTCCTTCCCTCCCCCTCTACCAGCTCCCTCTAGGCTACTTATCTCTTATTCTCTCTCCTTCCCTCCCCCTCTACCAGCTCTCTCTAGGCTACTTCTCTCTTATTCTCTCTCCTTCCCTCCCCCTCTACCAGCTCTCTCTAGGCTACTTCTCTCTTATTCTCTCTCCTTCCCTCCCCCTCTACCAGCTCTCTCTAGGCTACTTCTCTCTTATTCTCTCTCCTTCCCTCCCCCTCTCCTCCTCTATTACCTTCTCTCTCCTTCCCTCCCTCTCTCTCTCCTTTCTTATTTTCTCTTTACTCCTCCTCTATTAAACCTTACTCTCTCCCATATGAGTAGTACAGAGGTCAGAGTGTAGGTGCTGGAGATCTTCAGGGTCACCTGCAGTGAGTGACCATCAGGAAAAGCATGCATGCATCAGCAAATCAGCTCTAAAGCTGCAATCTTGCATACATTTAAAAAAAACAAGTGCATGTTGACTACACAGTTTTGCAAAAAGTTTGAAAACATGCCATGTTTGACCAGTTAAAAGGGTTCATAACTACTAAGAACCATTTCCAGTTTCACTTTTTCCCCCAAAGTAAGGAGATTAAAGTCAACTGAAAGTCGAGGGAGCGCACACCCGCTAAATGCTTTCCAGCGGCGATGAGCGAGCCCCAGCTCTAGCCCTGCTATACAACAACAGTTTGGGAGGAAACATCACGTGGTGACACATCTCCGGGACTGACGTCATCGTCCCCATCTCCAAGCAACCTCTCCATCAGCACTCGCGTCACCGCGCGCCGAGCCTCACGGTTGCCTGGCAACCTCTGCCTTGCGCTTGCGCCCAGCCCTGCTCTTCGCTCGAAGCTCTGACGCGGGTGTGACGTTAATGAGGTGGGTATCAATTTGTTAGCCTATAGCAGCGAGAGAGGAGGAGTCTCCCATGAAGACTGTGGCTGTCCGCATTCCACAGGAGCGCACAGGCAGATCGAACAGTGCGGTAGCCGCGTTTGTGACCGGCCACATCACCCTGTAAATAGTTCTAACTGATACGGCTGGCACACTGTAGTGTACACTTTAGTGTACATTTATGTGCATATTTCGTTAAAAAAAAGGACAATAAAAAAGTTGTTGTTTTTCATTAGACTTTTCTCGTATTTACAGCAACTAATATCCTCATAGAATGACTTGTATAGCTGTCTGTAACAACCGATTGAACTGTGAGAGGAGGTGGTGCACCTACTACATCCAATAAGGTAAGACACGGCAATGCTCTTATGATTCTTTGGAAAAATCTGACTTGCAGTTCAAGGTGGATCTATAATGGACATTTATAATAATGTATTTATTTTTTTCGGGCAGCATATATGCGCCGAGCTGCCATTGCCATTACCTTAACACTTAACAATTCTGTATTTTGTGTTGTGTTAAATGTCTACATGTCTATTAAGCATAGACGTTTTCATATTTGGGCATGTTTAGTATGAAGCCAGCGCTTCTTATTTAATATAATTAATATATGGTTAGTGCAGTAATCAAATTTAGAGCAAATTTGTGAAGATTTGACAGACATGAAAGTATGTGCTTTATCTTGAATTATTTTGTGCATCATGATGCAATGGAAATGTTAATTCAGAATCTTTGCGTTTTTTTAATAATAATTGTGGAAGAGCACGAATAGGCAGGCCTACGCCTAGCTAAATGTGTAGCCTAATGATTATAATTATAATGTTATTATCAATAATGATAATAATACATTGATAATGTAATGTATTAGGCCTAACAATTGATAACACACTAATAAAAAATAAAATAATGCGATTAAGCATAGGCTTATGCGCATTTGATATTTACAATTTTGACTTTTGTAACGCAGGTACTACACGCAATTTTTATCCTATCCTTTGGAATATAATAATCAATTGGGCATTATGGTGATAATGACGGAGAGCGGCCCGGGGGGCCAGCCCAACCATACCCAGGGAAGGCCTCTACAGGTCGGCTTCTATGAGATCATCCGCACGCTGGGGAAAGGAAACTTCGCTGTGGTCAAACTGGCAAGGCACAAAGTCACCAAAACACAGGTCAGCATCCCTAATCTTTCATTACCAATGGTTTCATATCATATTTGATACATTTATAAATCACACGGACACATCTGAAAATAACAAAAACATTTGATAGAATCATATCAGCCTTTCCCATTGCATTTGTCCTGGATATAGTAGACCTTGATTTAGTGTGTTTACAGTTTGCTGTGTTGGTTGGTTGTCCACTGCCAGGTGGCCATAAAGATAATTGATAAGACGAGACTGAACCCATCCAACCTGGAGAAGATCTACAGAGAGGTCCAGATCATGAAGCTACTTAACCACCCCCATATCATCAAACTCTACCAGGTGTGTGTGTGTGTGTGTGTTATTTTAGGTGTGTTGACTGACCCCTTATCCATCATGGATACTGTTGAGTGACTGGGCTGTGTGTTTGGCTACGTGTCCACAGAGAGAGACACGAGCTGAGTGGGTGTTGGGGACAAATAACACAGGCACATTAAACAGGATAGGTAGAGGGAGTAGGGATGGAGGTGTGGCGGCAAGGAAGATATTAAATGTATGGATGAAATGGAGAGAAAGGAAGGTTTCAGTGTTCATTATGGTACATCTGGGTTTATACACGAAATCCTGGGAAACAAGATCTTATTAGAATGTCCCCCATCTCTCCCACACACACACACACACACACACACACACACACACACACACACACACACACACACACACACAGCCCCCAACGCCTTGAGATGGCCAGGAAAGCCTGATGTGTCATATGTCCTCCAGAAGACGATCCACCACTGTGAGCAGATTAATACTGAGGGATAGTCCTCCTAAAGAGACACAGGGCTCTGTGACTCAACAACTCAGAAAGCTAATCAGCACTTCCAATCAGGGCTCATAGTGATGGCCAGAACTGACAGTGCTGCTGTGCTCTGCAAAGCCAGGGAGACTTCTCAGTTAGAGGAGTCACTGGATGACTAATGGCTCTGAGCTGGGTTGTCCCCCTGTTTCAGTTTCTGTGTCTTTAACTCTGTAGGCCTACAGTATGTCTGCGAGAGCAGTCTCTCCTAATTTCTTTCTCTCTCTCTCTCTCTCTCTCTCTCTCTCTCTCTCTCTCTCTCTCTCTCTCTCTCTCTCTCTCTCTCTCTCTCTCTCTCTCTCTCTCTCTCGGGGCAATAGTGAGGGTTGAGCAGGTCAGGTGCTATTTGATGAAGGTTGGAGCAAGTTTCTCTGCCCTGAGGGAAACCCTTTTCTCTGTGACACCCCCTCATCCGCCCGCTGAGGGGGAGGTGTAGTACGGTAAAGGCAACCTTGTGATCCGGAGGTCACATCCTCTCCCTCTCATCCTCCTGTTCCACTAACAGAACAGTGGGGAATTGGAAATGATGCAGACAATTACACTGATAGAAGCCACAATCTATTTGCAATATTAAAGCTGATCCACCACCCAAAAAAATAACACCAAAGCGTTGAACCTCAAGCTTTAGATATGCTGCTGTTTCGTTTTTTTGTCTGGTCTTTTGTGAACAAAATTAAACTTTTTTCCCCTGCACTTCTGGAGATCACCACAATCTGTTCTTTCTTTCTTTCTTTCTTTCTTTCTTTCTTTCTTTCTTTCTTTCTTTCTTTCTTTCTTTCTTTCTTTCTTTCTTTCTTTCTTTCTTTCTTTCTTTCTTTCTTTCTTTCTTTCTTTCTTTCTTTCTTTCTTTCTTTCTTTCTTTCTTTCTCTCAAACACACACTCCCCCACATATCACTCTTCAGGGGCCAGTATGAGGGACCCTTAATGTGCCAGACCACTTCCCTGGAAGCCTGTATGACATCAGCAGCACCTCTAGGGTGAGAGGGACACAGAGTGGTGCTCATCTCTCTCAGATGAAGACTAGAGACTATGTGGAGCCTCTGTGTCTCCCTAACCATTACTGCTGCCCAGCACCTCACTGTCTCTCACGCAGTTAGAAAAGTGAAAGAGAAACTGGGTTGGAAATGAAATGAGGCTATGCAATCACTGCCAGGAGTTCCAGGAAGGGGATGTGGCCTTTTTTATTTTTTCTCTTTGTATTTGCGGTGTTGATGAGTTCTTGATACACAAGCTGAGACCTGTGTGTGTGTGTGAAATTCCTTTCCCAGAAGGAGAGAGATATTGTTTCCGTTGACAACTGGTGACAGACAACACAGTTTAGTGGGAACACGGGTTTGAACTGTTGTGTGTGTTTGTGCCTGTGTGGACGCTGTGTTCGTATCCTATAAATAAAGAGCAGGCAGGAAGTGCCTGTCAGCTATGTTATGCAACAGTTCATATCATGGAAAGTCAACATGCCGTGTGTGTGTGTGTGTGTGTGTGTGTGTGTGTGTGTGGTGTGTGTGTGTGTGTGTGTGAGTGAGTGACAGGAGTTATGGAACAGGAAGGGGGAAGTGTGGTCCGGGGAAAATTAAGGTTGCCAGAAAACTTCCTCAGTGCCCAGTCCTGGCTCTGCTAAAACACTCACAGAGTGGAAAGTCCTCTCTCCTTACGTCATCACTGTATGTTTGTGTGTGTATAGCCTACTTTTTGCTAACTTCTCTCCTATGTCTCTCTTTGTGTTTCTCTTAGGTAATGGAGACTAAAGATATGCTGTACATTGTGACAGAATACGCCAAAAATGGAGAGATGTTCGGTGAGGAACAAATAAAATGTTGCTTTGTTGTAATTGGGTTGGGCACAGTGGAGGCTGCTGAGGGGAGGACGGCTCATAATAATGGCTGGAATGGAGTCAATGGAATGGTATCAAACACATCAAAGACGTGGTTTCCATGTGGTTGATACCACTCCATTGACTCCGTTCCAGCCATTAGTATGAACTGTCCTCCCCTCAGCAGCCTCCACTGATTGGGTAGTATCTTTTTAGGTAATAAAAGGGGTAAAATAGATATGAAGTTCCTCCCTCACCCAGGATGTATAGATGGTTTGGGCCTCTTAGTCTAAAACGCCCCCTCTCTCCTTCTCTTCCTCTTGTCCTCCAGACTACTTGACCTCAAACGGGCGCATGAGCGAGGACGAGGCGCGGAAGAAGTTCTGGCAGATCCTGACGGCGGTGGACTACTGCCACAGACACCACATCGTTCACAGAGACCTCAAAACTGAGAATCTTCTGCTGGACGCCAACATGAACATCAAACTGGCCGGTGAGTCTGTCAAGAAACAACCCTGGAGCCAGCAGCCATGGGAATACAGGAGTCAAACAACCACGAGTTTCACTAACTAACCAATCTCTTTCTCCTTCCCATTCAGACTTTGGATTCGGTAATTTCTACAACGCAGGCGAGCCCTTGTCTACGTGGTGTGGCAGCCCCCCTTACGCAGCACCCGAGGTGTTCGAGGGAAAGGAGTATGAAGGGCCACAGTTGGATATCTGGGTAAGGGCTAACAGGGAAACTGCACACAATGTGTTTTGAACCGAAGTTCTACCATCTTCATGTCAACCCAATCAATACTGAAGTAAAGGGAGAGACCATTTGTTGATGTTCTCCTCCTGGTGTCTCTCTCCTCTACAGAGTCTGGGTGTGGTTCTGTATGTTCTCGTGTGTGGTTCCCTTCCGTTCGACGGGCCCAGCCTCCCCGCCCTCAGACAGAGAGTCACAGAGGGGCGCTTCAGAATCCCCTTCTTCATGTCTCAAGGTACCCATCACTATGGCAATTGGATTGATAGATTGATTGATACAATGGTTGGTTTATATTATATAAAAGCACATGCTATATCATCAGACTGACCTTGCTTTCCCTTCTCCCTCCCTCCCACCCTCCCTTCTCCCTCCCTCCCTCCCTCCTCCCTTCTCCCTCCCTCCCTCCCTCCCTCTCTCTTCCTCCCTCTCTATTCCCCGCAGACTGTGAGAACCTGATCCGTAGGATGCTGGTGGTGGACCCAGCTAAGAGGATCAGTGTGGCCCAGATCAAGCAGCACCGCTGGATGCTGGCTGACCCCACAGCTCCTCGCCAGACCCTCAGTATGGCCCTGCCCCTCACAGACTACAACTCTAACCTGGGGGACTACAGCGAGCCCGTCCTGGGCATCATGCAAACCCTGGGCATCGACCGTCAGAGGACCATTGAGGTGAGTGGCTCATTGGTTGATGTGTTAATTGGTTGATTGGTTTATTGGTGTTATCGTCATGGAAGGAGGATTAGAGGAGGGTAGGAGTGAGTGGAGCTGGGCCGTTATATAGGTTACAGGTTATAGGTTATGTGTTATAGGTTATAGGTTACAGGTTATAGGTTACATGTTATAGGTTACAGGTTATAGGTTATGGGTTATAGGTTATAGGTTACATGTTATAGGTTACAGGTTATAGGTTACAGGTTATAGGTTACAGGTTATAGGTTACGGGTTCTAGGTTACAGGTTATAGGTTACGGGTTCTAGGTTCTAGGTTACAGGTTATAGGTTACAGGTTATGGGTTATAGGTTCTAGGTTACAGGTTCTAGGTGACAGGTTCTAGGTTACAGGTTACAGGTTATAGGTTACGGGTTATATAGTAGGTTACACAGATCATATAGTACCACAGGAATACAGTATTTGGAGTACACTGTAAAGACTGAGCTAGTGGGGTTGGGTACTGGGTTGAAAGTGTTGGGGCTTTGAGGCAGTTAGTCATGTCTGGCAGTATGTTATGTTGCCTCTCAGGCAGGCGCCACAGTCAAACACACCCTGGGGCTCTGTACGCCTGGGAGACTTAATACTAGTTTTGTAGGGAGAATTAGGGGGATAACTGGCATCTGCTTTTAAAGGCTGACACACTGAGCGGTGAGTAGATGAGCTCCAACAGCAGTCTCTCAGGAGATTAGTCTGAGAGAGCGCAGTCTGATGGGGCACAGAGCGCGTGTGTGTGTGTGTCTCTTATCTGAGAGAGAAATATAAATAGAGAGAGTGAGAGAGAATTAGGGAGAGGAAGACTAAACACTAAAGACTGACACCCTTTAGACCAAAATGGCTGACTAACATGTCCTTGTCTTCTGCCCCAGTCTCTGCAGAGCAGCAGCTACAACCACTTCTCAGCCATCTACTACTTGCTGTTGGAGAGGGTCAGGGAGCACCGGGCCCAGCAGCTTAGCCGTCAGTGTGGGCCCTGGAGCCAGAGACCCAGGAGCACCTCTGACTCTGGTACCCCAGAGGTCATCATGGAGGACAGCTTCAGACCTTCAGCCTACCCCATTCAATGCAAGAGCACCCCTCCCATGCACTCGGAGATGGAATATGACCAAGGTGCATTGTTTCAACGTGTGGTGTTCCCGGTGGAAGCCAGTCTGAACCGACTGCTGTGTAACCGCTCCATCTCCCCCAACAGCCTGGTGGAGACCAGCATCAGTGAGGAGGTGCGGCCCCGCGACCTGGAGGAGGAGGCGGTCACACACACCTGCTCAACCCTTGTCCTGCCCACCACCACCTCCCGGCGACACACCCTGGCCGAGGTCTCTGCTAGCTTCCACCAGTGCAACCCCCCCTGCATCGTGGTCAGCCCCTCCGACGGTGCGTCATCTGACAGCTGTCTGAAGTCCTCATCCACCCCCAACCCTGCTCTGCGCCCCACTGTGGGTGGCCTATCAGCTGTGCTGGTCTTTGGGACTGACCCCGGGGCTCTGGTCCCCGCCGGTAGCCCACCGGCCCTCTCCTATCACCTCCTCCCCCAGGCCCAGGCTGCCAGCTTCCAAGAGGGCCGCAGAGCCTCTGACACCTCCCTCACACAAGGTATGGGTGATGACAGTTTATAGGCATTAGGTATGCATCAATCCCATCATCCTCATCATCATCATTACTACAGAGAAATGTATCAGTCATATCATCATCTAACCAATCATCTACCTGTCTCTCTCTTTGTGCGCCTCCCCAGGTCTGAAAGCCTTCCGCCAACAGCTGAGGAAGAACACGCGCACTAAGGGCCTTCTGGGTCTGAATAAGATCAAAGGTCTGGCGAGGCAGGTCTGCCCTCCGACCTCCGACCGCAGTAGCCGTGGCAGCCGGGGATCAATAAGCCCCACCATCAGTGAGCACCGCAGCATGCTGGAGGAAGTTCTACACCAGCAAAGGTAAGAGGGAGACACACACAACCTTACACACGCACCTGCACATAAATACAATCACAGCCACATAGTCACAGTAAGTGTTCTAACCCCACCTCTCTGTCTCTGTTTACAGGATGCTCCAGATCCAGCACCAGCCCCAGCCTCAGTCCCCTTGGCCAGCACCTACCCAGAATCCCCTGCTTTTCCTGTCCCAGCAGCAGCCCCCCTCCCCCACCTCAGTCTTCACCCCCTCCACCCTGTTTGACACCCCCGCCCCCTCCCTCCTCCAGGGGGAACCCCAACCCCCACTGCCCTCCCACCAGAGCCCCCTGGCTCTCCAGCATGCCTTCTGGCAGCATCCTCTGGAGTCATCTTCCCCCTCCTACGGCTCCTCTTCCTCCTGCTCCTCCTCTTCCTCCTGCTCCTCCTCTTCCTCCCTCTCCCCTGTGTGTTCTGCTGCTTACCTCCTCGAGGCTCGACTGCACATAAGCCAGCAGTCCAGCCTCTACCCCGAGACCAACCTCCACCCCCAGACCAACCCCCACTACCAACCCCAGGACCAGACCCAGGCTTTCACCCAGGGCCCCTTCCCCCTCATGCCCTGGCAGGGGATGTGGAGCTTGGATTCAGCCTCCGGGAGAGAGTCTGAGATGCAGGAGCTGGGCCGGGGTGGGCAGCAGCAGCTGAGCAGCTGTGTGATGGTGAAGTAATGGAGGGAAAGAAAGGAGAAGCAGAAAACAACTTCCTATTGGATGTAATGGTGATGTCATCACTGATGGACAGGAAGGGTGAGCGCTTTTTGACAGTGGGAACAGAACTATGAGACGTGGAGTTTCTCACAGAACATCAGATGATGAGCAGAAGGTGATAGGATGACAGAACAGATCCTCCTAAGTGTGAAAATAGAACAATTGGGGAGAAAAGAAACTCACTGAGCAAAGAGTAGACAGATTTTTTTTTTACTGATGCAAGTCACAAATCTACACTCTCTTGAACAACATGCAAACACACATCTAGGTGTGAGTATCTGTGTGTGATCACATAAGCTGAGAATTAAGCAATAACCAAACTCTGGAGTGGTGGCTCTGATGTCTCGTCAGACCCCCTCCCCCCAGAGTAGCAATAAAGGTCTGGGACCCCCTCAACACAACAGAGGACCTCTGTTCCTTTCCTTTCTCCCTGATGGGGACCACAACTCACCCCTCTCCTGCTATGGAGGGGTGTGTGAAGGATTAGTCTTGAAAACCCAATGAGGACTGGTATCAATGTACCGTACTAGATCATTTAAGACCTATTTCAACAGTTGTGAGTTTTAGTTTGAGTTTTTTCATCAAGTTTGAAAACAGGAGGATCCAGTCTTCCTGATTTCGTTTTGTGTTACTTTTCCGGTTTTGCTCACTGTATATAGACCTTTATTACATTTAATTGTTTTTCACTTTATTAGAAAATACCAAAGTTCTTTCTTTATTTTTACTTTGTTTGCCTTTTGGAGAAGATATTACTTCAAATCAAATGTTATTGGTCACATACACATGTTTAGCAGATGTTATTGCGGGTGTAGCGAAATGCTTGTGTTCCTAGCTCCAGCAGTGCAGTAATATCTAACCACACACAACAATACACACATCTAAAAGTAAAAGAATGGAATTAAGAAATATTGTAATATTTGGACGAACAATGTCAGAGTCCGGAGTATAACTATATATATATATATATATATATATATATATATATATATATATATGTGTGTGTGTGTGTGTGTGTGTGTGTGTGTGTGTGTGTGTGTGTGTGTGTGTGTGTGTGTGTGCATATGTGTGATGGGATGTATAGACATTGTGGAAAGTATGTGAATAGAATAGTATACGTACAGCAATAGTTGAATAGGATGGACTTGACTAGAATACAGTATATACATATGAAATGGGTAAAACAGTATGTAAATCTTATTAAAGTGACCAGTGTTCCATGTCTGTGTACATAGGGCAGCAGCCTCTAAGGTGCAGGGATGAGTAAGCGAGTGGTAGCTGGCTAGTAACAGTGACTAAGTTCAGGGCAGGGTACTGGTGGAGGCCAGCTATTTAACAGTCTGACGGCCTTTCAGTCTCTCGGTCCCAGCTTTGATTCACCTGTCCTGACCTCACCTATTTTGTAGCAATCCTACAAACATGCAGTATCATAACTATTCTAAGCTTCCAAACATTCTTTGAAGACAATGTTATTGTGATTTCACAAACTGTGATTTGTTTGTGCGAGATTCTAGCTGAGCTCATGCTGCTTTCACCACAGAAGAAGAAATAGACTTGCTGTGTGACTAAAGCACAATAGGTACTGCTATTAGCAAGCAGTGTGTATGTGTGTGCATCTTACAAAAATGATGATTTTCAATTAATAATTTATACTCATGTACGGTTACTTTCTAATCATATTCCCTCTGTATTTGTCATTTTATATGTCTCAATTTGTAAAGATTGTCAAAACGTAAGACCCTGAAGACCTATGAGCATGATGTCATTCCCTATCAGGGGAAAACATTTGCATTTACATTTTAGTCATTTAGTAGACGCTCTTATCCAGAGCCACTTACAGTAGTGAGTGCATACATTTTCATAACAAAGCTTTACCCACTATACTTTTCACCTCATATGGGCTATGTGTAGGTTACATGATGTAGTGCTTTCACATAGTCAGAACAAAGACTTTGGGACTATAGTGCAATATTTCACATTGAAATGCAGAGAGATTGAGAGCTGACATAAGATAGTACAGTAACTGCCTGCTGGTGTTTATTCGATAGTTTTTTGTATATTTTTTTTTTGTATGAATGTACAAGGTTTTTATACCTTCATAGGGAGCTAGCTGAGTAGAGCAGGTACTAGAAAGCTTCTGTTTTTTGTTGAACATAGAACTGAATATGTTTAGAAGAAAGGAACCAAACCATTTCATAGTGCTTTCCCTATTGACAACACGGTTCCCTGCTATTGCATAATGGCAGAACTAGAGATAAGCCAAAGAGAAAGAAACTACTGACTTTCCTCTGTGAACGCGTTGACTCAAAATGCTAGCTAGTGCTTTCATGGCATACTCTGTGTGGCTCCTAGATGCGAAAACGCAGGACCATGGCTGTATTTGTTTATGTATTTTCTAAGAAAAAGAAAAACAACTTGCAGCAAGACAACATTCTTTGCTGGAATGTGAGTTTTTTCAATGAATTGTCTGTAGGTGGTAGAGGTACAGTATCTAGCTAGAGGTGTGCACAGCGTGTTTGGGTTTATGTGTTAGGTTTGAAACACCACCATTAACTTCAGCAGTTTCCACCATGATAGCAATGCATCTTTGTTATTTTGGTTAGTTTGACCATATCTGTGAAGTGGTCTCATTTTGAACAACATGTTGAAGAGGAAAAGTGTTTGAAGCCTGAAGCTAAAATGTTGTTTGATAGATTTCTCTCTGAAATAAGCAGTGTTAATATTTCTAAATGACATTTCATTTTGGCTGATTGCACTCACCACCAACACTTGTGCCTTCTTCAGAACAAACCCCCTACGATCAGAGTAACCCTACTTTTCTCCAATCAGCACACAGAGAAAACAGGTGGGCCCGCCATGGGCCAGACACTCATAAGAGTCCGTTTTCATACTTTGATTTAACTTGCTGTATTGAAGAAAAAAATAAGCTTTGCACTTTACAGTGAATATTTCTCATTTCTGAAATACGTTTTGTTTCTCCTGTTAGTTCAGAAAACTCTTCACAAATGTAGTTTGACTTAACTATTGAAACACTAGGAACCTTTTTGACACAGATCTGTAAGATGTCCTTTTTGGTAAAATATTGGATATGAAGAAATATGTTTTATGATTTTCCTGATTTGCTACTTGACTGTGTGTGTGTGTTAGTAAGAATGTTATATAGAAAGAAAGATTGTTTATTTATGTGGCTATTTATTTGAATAAAATTCACTTCCTAAACATTAATTCCAGTTGTTGGTCGTAATTTTGTGTAAATGTCTTAGTCATATGATAATACATGCTAATATGTATTAATCAAAAGTAGGCTGACTAACAGCCACTATAGTTGATGTTAAATCAAAATGGATGACATGGAGAGATGTAGCTGAAAATATTCCCAAAAAAGTTACTTCAAAGTTCTGAACGCCACATTTAGCAAGCCAGACAAGACACACATCGTCCTCATCAACAGCTGATGACGCACATTGATGATGTTCTAGCCCGCTGTGATGACGTTCTAGCCCTCTCTGATGATGTTCTAGCCCGCTGTGATGACGTTCTAGCCCTCTCTGATGATGTTCTAGCCCGCTGTGATGATGTTCTAGCCCTCTGTGATGATGTTCTAGCCCGCTGTGATGATGTTCTAGCCCTCTGTGATGATGTTCTAGCCCTCTGTGATGATGTTCTAGCCCTCTGTGATGATGTTATAGCCCTCTGTGATGATGTGATGATGACGCTGGGTGATGATGTGATGATGACGCTGGGTGATGATGTGATGACCCTTGGTGACCCTGCTGTGTGTAAGGCAGCGGACAGTGACAGATGTCTGATGGATGACAGAGACCCATGTGTGGGAGGGGACACGACAGTGAAACCAATCATGATTCACACATCCTAAGTGGCCTATCTGGTGCTAAAACCACTCAGACCAAGTGCTAACACACATTTAAACACACTCTAATCAACTGTTAACAAGCTGTGACACAGACATAGTTCCAAACACCTGGGCTGATAAACATTGCTTCATAAGAGGCTCATCTAGCCACAACATGCAGCATGATGGGAAGAGCAACAGCAAAACACTCCTATCAGGGTCTTTCGTCAGATGAATTTTCAGAAATGGTCAGATCACGACAATTCCCTGGATGTCAATGCCCTGTTTTTCACTGAGCCCCCCTAAACCCATATTTGGTTTTCCCATGTGTGTTTGTGTGTGTGTGTGTGTGAGTGTGCGTGCATGTGTGTGTGTGTGTGTGTACGTGTGTGCGTGGGCCTGGTGTGTGTGATAGGAATGCTGTGTATTAGCGATCAGGTCACCCTACCAACCGTCCATCACCATCCTGCAGCCTGATGTGGACACAACCTTTAATGAGCTCTCTGTCACAGTGTCATAACAAGGCAGACTGATTTATTGTGATATGTGTGCGTGTGTGCATATACATGTGTATACTAGTATGTGTGTCTCAGTCTAGATATGTTGGCCTGCGTGCCTTTGCCTCTGGGACGCTGTGTTGGCTAGCAAGCATTTTAGCTAGGTAGCCTATGACAACAAAAACTAAAAGTGTACTGTATGACAGAGCCATAGACTGTTTTGCCAACATGGAAGAAAGGAGGATGGCATTGGCGTTCAACTAGTCTACAAGTAGGGTGAGTCAAAATGTTTTGTTTTACTTGCGTGCGCACGCACACACACACACACAGACATCAAGGCCTGTAACATACTTTGTTTCACGGAAACATGGCTCTCTGGGGATATTCGGTCGAAATTGGTCTAGCCTGATGGGTTCTCAGTTCATCGCGTCGACAGGAATAAATATATCTCTGGAAGCAGAAGGGCGGAGGTGTGTGTTTCATGATTAACGACTCATGGTGTAATTGTAGTAACACACAGGAACTCAAGTCCTTTTGTTCACCCAACCTAGAATACCTCACAATCAAATGCCGACCGTATTATCTCCCAAGATAATTTTCTTCGGTTAAAGTCA